GGACTAGTAGAAAAACAGTGAAAGTACAGATATTTATTGCGAAGTGCAAAGTATACACTCAAGAAAGGGTGGTGTGGGTGTTCTCAAGACAGAGAGCTGTGCCATGGAGTTTGGGGTTTCTATCTTTATAGGTTTCCTTACCAAGGGGTGGAATATTCATGAAGATTCTTGGAAAAAGGTGAAGATTTCTCAGAACTGTTGCTGCCCATTTTTACAGAAAATATGGGTGTTCCTGGAACTGTCCAGGTGCTGGTGGGTGTACGGTTTAGTATGTTAAGGGGCGTATAATGAGGTCCTAGGAGAAACCTGGGTCAAATTCAGCCCCATGTGTCCAGTCGGTCTTCGCCAGCTTGGCCCATACCCTGGTTTTTCAGGGTCTTATCAGCCCCTGGCTTATGCAGCCATTTCAAAAGTTTCCTTTCGTTAGGTGAATCTGCTGCCTGGAATTTTCCATTCTCCTGCCACTGCCCTGTATTCCTGTAGTGAGCAGAGATCATGATACTGCACCTAGCCTGGGTGACAGAGCAAGATGGGGTGAAGATATCTAAATTCTTGTGAGTAGTGAGTACCTTGTAAGCTAGTTGCATGTGTTAACTGATTTAATCCTCACAATAACATTATTATACTACTATTAACCTCATTTTTTTTTTTTTTCAGACTGAATCTCACTCTGTCACTCAGGCTAGAGTACAATGGTGTGATCACAGTTCCCTGCAGCCTTCAACTCCTAGGCTCAAGCAATCCTTCCACCTCAGCCTCTGGAGCACCTGGGACCACAGGCCTGTGCCACCATGCCGGGGTAATTTTTTGCCGTTTTTGTAGAAAAGAGGTCTCACTATGTTGCCCAGGGTGGTTTTAAACTGCTGGGCTCAAGCTATCCACCCACCTTGGCATGCTAACCTCATTTGTAACATATGAGGAGTTGAAGCCACAGTGTGGTTACATTTGCTAAATTACAGGGCTGGGGATTTGAACCGAGGCCACCTTACTCTCTTAGCCAAGGCAGTGAGAGATCCCACCTACCTTAGTCCTAGCTGAGCTGGGGTATGTGAAGAACACCCTTGCTACTTCTCCTTGTTTCCAGCTTGTCTAGGATCAACTGCTGCTCAGAAAGGAAACACTCCTTTCTTTGATATGCTAATACATTCCTTGGTCAGGGCCGCAAGGTCTGAGAATGCTCTGCGTCTTTCAGACAACTTTGTGAATTTCAAAACTTGTTCTGGGGGGCGGGGGCGGGCAATGGCTTCACCCTTATTTCCTAGTTATTGTGGGATACCTCCCCAGGGTATTCAAGTTCTAATAACAAACACCCACTCAGATCACTGGAAAATTCAAACCAGTCTAAAAATTTCAGAGGCGGGATTGTCTAATTTTTTTCCCTTTACACAATGAACTTTTGAAATGCTGCAAGCAAAAAGAATTCTGGAATTTGTAGATATTTAGATGCTTCGAGGAACTGAGCTATTAGAGGAACCCTCATGTGAAGGCTTTTGTTAAGTGGAGGACCAGATTGTAAATCAAACAATCACCCCCTAGCCAGATAAAAATAACAGCTTCCATTTTCTGGCTCTTACTACAGACTAGAAATTGCAAGGCTTCACATCTGTCATCATATCTCGCTAATAACACCTTTATAGAGGTATAATTCACATACTGTACTTTTAAAGTACGCAATTCAGTGTTAATTGTTTTCTATATATTCACAAGGGTATGCAACTGTCACCACTAATTCCAGAACATTTCCATCACCCGAAAAAGAAACCCCATGCCCCAGTGAGCAGTCACTCCGCCATTCCTCTCCCTTCAGCCCCTGGTTAACCACTAAACTACTTTCTGTATCTATTTGTCTATTCTGGACATTTCATATAAATGGAACTGTACAATATGTAGTCTTTTGTGCCAGCTTTTTTCCTGCAGCATATTACCAAGTTTCATCCATGTTGTAGCTTTATTTCCTCTTCATAACCAAATACTATTCTATTGTATGAATACACTACCTTTTGTTTATCTACTCATCAGTAGATGGACATTTGGGTTGTTTTCAGTTTTGGGGTACCATCATCTCTTTCAATCTTCACGCCACCTCTACATGTGTATATGTCTTTTAATATTCATGCCACTTCTAGACGTGCTGTCCTCCGTTGATTGGCTGAGTGAATTGTGTTTTCTTTCTTTTCATCTCTTTTTATTTTTACAGATGGGGCCTCCCTGCATTGCCCAGGCTGGAGTGCAGTGGCCATTTATAGGCGCAATCATAGCAATGCAGCCTCTAACTCCTGGCCTCAAGGGATCCTCCTGCTTCCGCCTCCCAAGTAGCTTGGACTACAAGTGAGCCACACCTGACTGTGAATTGTATTTTCTGATGTCAACCAAAGAAAAACATCAAGCATTTAAAGAATTAAGTTCTGCCAGTTGAGGTGGCTCACACCTGTAATCCCAGCACCTTGGGAGGTTGAGGTGTTGGATCACGTCAGGTCAGGAGTTCGAGACCAGACTGGCCAACATGATAAAACTCCATCTCTACTAAAAATACATAACTTAGCCAAGCATGGTGATGGATGCCTGTAATCCCAGCTACTGTGGAGGCTGAGGGAGGAGAATCGCTTCAACCCGGGAGTGGAGGTTGCAGTGAGCCAAGATCCTGCCACTGCACTCCAGCCTGGGTGACAGAGTGAGACTCTGTTTCAAAAAAAAAAAAAAAGAAAAGAATTATGTTTGTTTTATTCAGAAGCCTTACTGAAGACTGAAGACCAAGCAATACAGACTGGGAAGTTTCATCAGGCTGCTCCAAAACAGCGTTTTAGCCCACTGCTTATATATAGATGGTACGGGTTCAGTACACAAAATCACATCAAAGTTTGGCTCTAAGAGAACATATCTCTGACTAAAGATTATTAAAAGTACATTGCTTGAACCCAGGAGGCGGAGGTTGCGGTGAGCGGAGATCGTGCCATTGCACTCCAGCCTGGGCAACAACAGTGAAACTCCGTCTCAAAAAAAAAAATAAATAAATAAATAATAATAAAAATAAAAAAATAAAAGTAAATTTCTTTTTCTTTTTTCCTTTTTTTGAGATGGAGTCTTGCCCTGTCAACAGGCTGGAGTGCAGTAGCATGGTCTCGGCTCACCGCAACCTCCACCTCCCTGGCTCAAGCAATTCTCCTGCCTCAGCCTCCAGAGTAGCTGGGACTACAGGCAAGTGTCACCACACCTGGCTAATTTTTGTATTTTTAGTAGAGATGGGATTTCACCATGAAGGCCAGGATGGTCTCGATCTCTTGACCTTGTGATCTGCCTGCCTCGGCCTCCCAAAGTGCTGGGATTACAGGCCTCCCAAAATGCTGGGATTAGAGGTCACCTGGTCCTTTCCTCAGCCCACAAGATTCCTGCAGAAGAGCAGTAGCTATGAGGTGTTACTCTGCAGTCCTGACTGGATTCAAATACCCTGTCTGCATGTTAATAGGGGCGTGACTTTTGGCTCAGAGACTTTGGGACTCTCTGAGGTTCAGTTTGGACAATATATAATGGAATTAGTAACAGTATCAAAGTTACTGTGAGGAGTGAGTGAAGCGGTGACAAGGGCCTATCATATTGTAAACTCAACCCCTGGCTTCCTATTTCACTATTCACTGTGGATGGGGAGATGTCTCTGTGCCAAGCTGACCCCTCCCCAACTCCACACAGGCTGGTCCTTTTTCCCTAATCATTGCTTACCACCTCCAACCCCCACTATCCTTTTCTAGGTAACTTCTTATTCTTCAGATCTTAATTTATTTTTAAACAATTAATGTTTTTTTTTTTTTTTGAGACAGAGTCTCGCTCTGTTGCTGGAGTGCAGTGGTGTGATCTTGGCTCACTGCAACCTCTGCCTCCCTGGTTTAAACGATTCTCCTGCGTCGTCCTCGTGAGTAGCTGGGTTTACAGGTGAGCGCCACCATGCCCAGCTCATTTAATTTTTCCTAGAGACGGGGTTTCACCTTGTGGGTTAGGCTGGACTCAAACTCCTGGCCTCGTGATCCACCCACCTCAGCCTCCTAAAGTGCTGGAATTACAGGCGTGAGCCACCGCGCCCAGCCTATTTTAATTTTTTTTGAGACAGGGTCTTGCTCTGACACCCGGGCTGCAGAGCAGTGGCGCCATCTCGGCTTACTGCAGCCTCCGCCTGCCGGGTTCAAGTGATTTTCTTGCCTCAGCCTACCAAGCAGCTGCGATTACAGGCGCGCACCACCACGCCTGGCTAATTTTTGTATTTTTAGTAAAGACTGGTTTCACCATGTTGGCCAGGCTGGTCTCGAACTCCCGACCTGAAGTGATCTGCCTACCTCAGCCTCCCAAAGTGCTGGGATTACAGGCGTGAGCCACTGTGCCTGGCCTTCAGATCTTACTTCAAACACCCATTCCTTGGTACAGCATTCAGAGACATCTCCACATGCCTCTCTCCTTACTAAAGTTTATTTCTTACAAAACCCTGCATTTTTCCTTCATGTCTTTATCACAGTTTGTAATTGCCTATTTAAAATAACCTGTCATGTGTCCATAAACTGTGAGCTCTGCCAGGGACCTTGTTTGTCCTGCTCTCTGCCATGTCCTCAGTATCAACAGTGTTCTAGGAGCAAAGCAGGCTTTCATCAAATATTTATGGGAAACAGTCCAGTCCGTTCCTGAACTCGGGCTCAGAAAGGAACAGCAACCTGTCCAAAATCACACAAGTTAGTGGCAGACTTGATCCCAAATCTCCTAACTTGCAACCCAAGACTCTATCCCTGGAACTGAGAAGAATCTTCCCAAACTATCCCCCGATAAAATTTGAGTGCTAAACAAAGTCCCAGAAAGGGAGGGAGTAGAGCGGTGTGCAGAGTAAGAGGAAAGTGATTTGGCTTGGCCCCTCCTCTGTGACCTTAATGTTAGCATACTGCAAACTGAGGGATTATGACAACAACGACGTGGCAGGGCGGCTACACTGAGCGAACCACCGACGCGGCAACCATTGAAAGTGGTCAGGGCGCGTAGAGGGGAGGAGAGCGGAGACCCTGCGCAGGCGCAGTCGAGCTGCTCCGCTCTACCCTCCTCCGCCCCGCCCCATCTCTCCCGAATCATCAGTCCAAGAGCTGTCAGCTGATGCTACGCTACGCGGTCACGTGACGAAGGGGGGCGCGGCGCAGGCGCAGATTGTGGGCGGTTGGGTCACCTGACCCAAGGGGCCTTCGAGGTGCTTTAGGCGGCTTACCTCTATCTCAGAATCGCTGCCGCCATGGCCAGTCAGTCGCAGGGGATTCAGCAGCTGCTGCAGGCCGAGAAGCGGGCCGCCGAGAAGGTGTCTGAGGCCCGCAAAAGTGAGTTTCAGGGTGGGGCTACCCGGCGTGGGGCTCCCCGGCGTGGCGCGCGCGAGTCGAAGGAAGACCGCTGGGCCGCAGGTGGTGGTGGGTAGATTAGGCCCGAAAAACTGCGGGGTGCGGGCGTGGTTATAGTCGCGGAAGGTTATGTGTTTCGAAGCTCTGAGGAGGTGAGGCTCTGGAAGGCTTGCAGATCGCCTGGAAGCCACGACGTGAGGTAGTAAATCGGCCTTGGAAACAATAATGGGTGACCATCCTTGCGGCCTGGAGGCGTGTGAAATGGGCTATCCAAACGGGGTTCTTTGTCCTTCCCCTCTTCCACGTACTGCTCTGGGGTGGTCAGTCTCGGTGAAGGGAGGCAGCATCCACACAGTTGCTCTGTCTAGAAACCCAGAATCCTCTTTGCCTTTTCTCCCTCCCTCATTTGCCACCTTCAGTCAGACGCCAAGGCTTGCGTATCTTTCACTTTTTCCCTTTGTCTACTACTAACATCTTAGTCCAAGACACCAACTTCTCTGAAGGTACTGTGGCGCTCTAAATCGTTGATTGGTGCGTGTGTTTCTGTCTGTCTAATATGTGGCAAGCGCAGTGCCCAGTGTATCAGTTATCTCCCCTAACTTGGCTTCTTTAGGGGAGATGGGAGTTTGAGATCACCCCATTAATTGCGGGAGAGATAAGTGCTAGAGTGGAAAAATGTAAGGTTGCTAAAGAATTTAAGAGGTGAGTTTAATCTAGACTTGGGAGTGGAAGAACCTGTTCTACTCTCCTCCATTCTCCTCTTTGCTGTCGTCCTTCTAAATGCAAACATGTGACTTCTGCTGGCAAGGAACAAAAAATAAATAAAATGCAAATATTACTGCCCTACCGCCTTTGCAGTCGAAAGTTTAGTGCCTGCAGAAAAAAGCTCAAATGCCTTACTGAAGTGGGGGAGGTTCTTGGAGGTCAGTCTTAGTACTTTCGTCCAGCCATACTGAATCGCTGTGATCCCTCAGAAGCACCATGATTTCTTTCACCTGCAGGTCTTCGTGCACGCTGTTTCCTCTGACTGGAGAGGCCTTTTCCAATTTTCCTCCCCTTTGTTCTCTGACCCTTAGTCTTCCATCAGACCTCAAAATTTAGGGAGCATTTCTTCCGGGAAGCCTTTCCTGACTCATGCTTCTCCCCTCAGACTAGGCTTGGAGTCCCTCCCAAGTGTTGATTTCTGCCAGTGCCGTGCAATAACCTGTTTGTTTATATGGCTCAGTCACTAGACTAAGCTTCTGAGAACAGAAACTATGTTTAATTTAACTTTATGTATCCCGTTTCTCATCTGGTGAGAAAGATGCTTCTGTCCCTATTTTACAGATGGTAAAAATGAGGCTCAGAGAGAAATGATTTGTTCATACCCTGGGAAGCAACATACGTAGTTGGGACTCAGTAGCCTCTTTTCTCATGCAAGGCTAAGATGCTGAGAAAGACTGATCTTAGTAATTCCTTGATGTTTCTCCTAGTATAGGACTTAATTTGTCTGACATCCAACTAGATTTCAAGCATGTCTCCTCTACTTATTCAATTAGGGATTGTGTGGTACTTGAAAAGTTTTCTTTGAGGATGTTGGGAATGGGAAGAAATCTTGTTGTTCCCATGACTGGAAAGTTCTGTGTTCTTCCCAGAATATTTCCAGTCATGCCCTCGGTAGAGTATTTCCAGAATGCCTTCTCAGAGTTTGTCTTATGATGGTTCATCAGTAACAGAAGTTGTATCTGTCTGGAGGGATATGAGAATAGATTGGGGAAGTGCAGGAAAAAATACTCGGAATATGGCAAGAATAATTCTGAGTGCCCTGGAGGTAGGAGTTATGTTTTATGCCTTTATCCTGTCAAGCCTGGTGCAGGGTTTTGTATATCTCAGGTAGCTGTGACTTTGTTTTAAAAAGTATTAATGGCCAGCCATGGTGGCTCAGGCTTGTAAACCCAGCACTTTGTGAGGCTGAGGTGGGTGAGATCAGGAGTTTGAGATCAGCCTGGGCAATATGGTGAAGCTCTGTATCTACTAAAAATACAAAACTTACCTGGGTGTGGTGGCACACACGTGTAGTCCCAGCTACCCGGGAGGCTGAGACAGGAGAATTGTTTGAATCCAGGAGGCAGAGTTTGCAGTGAGCCGAGATCGTGCCACTGCACTCCAGCCTGGGGAACAGAAGGAGACTCCATCTCAGAAAACAAAACGAAGTATTTATCGCTAGTAGTTTATGGCTAACATACATCTCAGATTTTTTTTTTTTTTGAGACAGTCTCACTACGTTGCTCAGGCTAGAGTGCAGTGGCATGATCTTGGCTTCCTGCAACCTCCACCTCCCGAGTTCCGCAGATTCTTGTGCCTCAGTCTCCTGAGTAGCTGAGATTACACGTGCCTGCCACCATGCCCGTCTCTACTAAAAATACAAAATCAAATAAATTAATAAAAAATACAAAAATAAATTTTTATATTTTTAGTGGAGACAGTGTTTCACCATGTTGGCCAGGTTGGCCTCAAACTCTTGGCCTCCCAAAGTGCTGGGATTACAGGGATGAGCCACCGCCCCCTGGCCTGTCTCAGAACTGTTAATAGGAACAGAGGTTTTTAGAAGAACTGCAGTTTGAAAAAATGCCTTTCTTAATTTATAATTATGATTGATTTGCCCAGTTAGGAGTTGGGAAGAGGTAGTGCATGATGCGAAATGGTCCCATCCAATTTTTTAATGAAATCATTGCTTTGGACCTTAACATTTTTAAAAAGTTTGTGTTAATGGCATATTTCATTGGAGTGAAACAAAACACTGGTTTCCATATGTAAGGCCCAAGAAAAACAAGATTTAATAGAAATACGTTTTCCTCTTTAAATATTTTTGATTTTTAGAGGCACCTGTCAGTATTGAATGTTGAGGATGTTTGCTGAAGGCAGTAAATGGTATTATCTTGAGTAATAAATGCAGGGAGCCATGGGAGTGGGAGTGATGTCTTGTGAAGTCACGCGGAGCTACTGCAGCATGTTGGGGCCGTGAGTGTTGTAGATTGTTGGTTTGGAAAATATCTTTAGCTTTGAAATACAGTCCAATACAGCTGCTGGGAGTATAGCATGTAAAGGATTGGGGTACAGGTGCCCAAAGCAGACAATAGTAGGCCAGAAATAATATTGGAGTGAATGTGGACTTAGAGAAATAGTCGTTGGAGTGCTTTGAGAGAGACTTGTTTCAGACTAATGTTTACAGGTCCAAAGTTCTGTTCTTAATCAGGAGGTGGAAGATTAAGTTTGTTTTCATTCAGCCACATGGGCTTTAGACAGTTGATAATACAATGATGTACCATTATAACAAAGCTTAATTTTAGATCCAGGATGTCTTTTGCTCCGAATTAAATAAATAGGTTGATGGTCTAAAACCCCTCTTTTAAAAAAAAAAAAAAAATTGGTGATTGGACATTCAAAGCAGAGAGTATGTATGTGTTGGCTGTCCTTGTGGTCTGTTTTCATGCAGGCTCTGACCAAACCTAGAGATTTTTTTCCAGCTCTACGTTAAGCCACTTACTTCTAGAAACCAAAATACCTGTGTCTCCTCTTCCCTTAGCCACTAGTGCAGTCTTACTGTCCAGTGCTCCTCATTCAGCATTCCTTTTCAGTCACCACTTTCTTGATTTCCATGTGACAGGCACTGCTTTTAGTTTCCAGTGTTACATCATCTGGTTCATTAGTTACATTATAGGTTGATGTCCCTTGGGAACTTATTAGCCTTTTTGCTAAGCATCTAAGGAGGGCTGCAGTTTTAATCAGCAGCATACTTACGTGTTTACTTGTTGAGAAGCGATCCCTAGATGGTTAATGTTACCCATTTTATGTTGGTTTTTAATAGTTGAGATTGAGAGAATATTCTGACACGTTCTACAATTTTTTGCCTTCATTTTTATGGGCTGTAGTTACAGAAGGTATTCCTTTTTGTCTTGTCACTTCCTAGTTAAGTACAGCCTGCAGGAGGGAAGAACCTCTACTGTTTGTTAGCTCTGAATTCCCTCTTTCCCATGTACAGCTCTTGGGACTGTGTCATAATTCATTCTTAGTTTATTAAAATTTAACATCTCAGTCTTTCCTTGCTTTTCTGCTTTTAACCGTTTCCTGATATAGCTCTCTCCTTTGAAAACAGGAAAGAACCGCAGGCTGAAGCAGGCCAAAGAAGAAGCTCAGGCTGAAATTGAACAGTACCGTCTGCAGAGGGAGAAAGAGTTCAAGGCCAAGGAAGCTGCGGTGGGGCCCCATTTGTTTTCATTACTGCTTTAGTTTCCTGATACCCTCCCTGCCAAGGCTCTCAAAATATCCAGCATAGCTCAGAGATTCTGGTAGAATTTTGAAAATTGGTAATTGTGTGTTTTATTGGATGCTCAGGCATCTGTCTCTTAGGATGATCGGTTTTTCCACACATGTTGAATCCTAATTTTCATTTATTCAGTCATTTAACACATACCTGTTGAACAGTTAACGTGTGCCAGGTAGTGTGCTAGATGCTAGGGATCAGCGATGACCAAGAATAGTTACAATCCCTTCCATCATGGAGTGTAGCTCACCATCTGGTGGTCAAGGAGACTCAGTAATACAGTGCAAATCATGCAGAGACAACTGAAAAGTGCTGTGACAGTCATAAACAAACCAGCTGGAGCCCCACTTTAGTATATATAGTACGGACATTTAACCAGTGTTACGGGCTGTACTGTGGTGCGCACAATAATAGCACAAAAACAGATCACAGAGAGTACAGAGGAAGCAGGGACCATTGTGGAAAGGGGAAAGGATGGAGGAGGGCTTCACAGAGAAAAGAAACTATCAGGACTCTTGGGTGCAGGTAACAGAAAATATAATTAAAACTGATTCTAAATGGAATGTATTGGCCTATATAATTAAAAACCCAGGATCTTAAATAACATGCTTAGTACTTTCTCTCACCTGTGTGTTTGGCTTTGTATTTCTCTCAAATTCTACATTGTGGCCTCTAGTAGTTCCAGCACACACACTTCCAGGCCCAAATCCAGTGATTAAAGGCACATACCTCCCTCCTAGCATTAAGTAGCAAAAATTGTGATTAATTTTTTCTTTGTAAGAGACAGAGTCACACTCTGTCATTCAGGCTGGAGTGTAGTGGTGTGATCAGAGTTCACTGTAGCCTAGAGCTCCTAGGCTGAAGCAGTCTACCCCCACCCAGCCTTCTGAGTAGCTAGGACTAGAGGCATTATTCACCATGCTTAGCTGATTTTTTTTTTTTTTTTTTGTAGAGATAGGGTCTTGCTGTGTTGCCTCGGCTGGTCTTGAACACCTGGCCTCAAGTGATCCTCACATCTTGACCTCCCAAAATGCTGGTTCATCTTTATTCTTGGCAGTTACAGTGCTATTAAAACTTGACTCACAGTGGCTCACACCTGTAATCCCAGCACTTTGGGGAGGCTGAAGTGGGAGGATTGCTTGAAGCCAAAGTTCAAAACCAGCCTGGGCAATAAACCAGTTCATTGTCTCTTTAAAAATAAATAAATAAATAAGAAAAATAAAATATAAAAAATAAGAAAAATAAAAACAAAACTTAACATGTTTCTTTGATTCTTTAATTGGGGCTGATTGGTGCTGTAAGTTGTCAGACTGCTTATAAAACAATGTAGAAATACCCTTGTGTCAGGGCAGGCATTGTCTTCATTTTATTTTATTTTATTTTTCCAAGATGGAGTCTCACTTTGTCACCCAGACTGGAGTACAGTTGCATGATCTCAGCTCACTGCAACCTCGACCTTCCAGATTCAAGTGATTCTCCTGCCTCCACCTCCCAAATAGCTGGGATTACAGGCATGCACCCACATGCCCAGCTAATTTTTGTATTTTTAGTAGAGATGGGGTTTCACTATGTTGGCCAGGCTGGTCTTGAAGTCCTGACTTCATGATCTGCTTACCTCAGCCTCCCAAAGTGCTGGCTTACAGGTGTGAGCCACCGCGTCCAGCCTGTCTTCATATTTTTACATTCTTTTTTCATTTTCATGGCACAGGCTCAGGAAGTCCTGATGACATGTGCCCTCATATTTTTATAATCTGCTGTAGTTGCTTGTAGAGATGGTACTGGTTATTGTACTGTAAAGCACAAGCTCTGAACCTTTTTTTTTTTTTTCTTTTTGAGATGGAGTGTCACTCTTGTTGCCCAGGCTGGAGTGCAATGGCATGATCTTGGCTCACTGCGACCTCCACCTCCTGGGTTCAAGCTATTCTCCTGCCTCAGCCTCCTGAGTAGGTGGGATTACAAGTGCCTGCCGCCACGCCTGGCAGTTTTTTTTTTTTTTTTTTTTTTCTGTATTTTAGTAGAGATGGGGTTTCGCCATGTTGGCTAGGCTGGTCTCGAAGTCCTGACCCCAGGCGATCCACCTGCCTTGGCCTCCCAAGTGCTGGGATTTTAGGTGTGAGCCATCATGCCTGGCTAAGCTCTGAATCTTTCTAGCAGTGTTCCATTGTAACCTCCTTGGTTTTTCAGAAAACTTAGTGGAGCTTAGCATATGGCTTATATTCATGAAACAGGTAAGAGGTTATGAACATAAAAATACGAGTTAGCAACTGAGCTGTTACGAGATGCCCCAGGATATTCCTGTAATATGAACAGTTGTAGTATAGTATGAAGAGCTGTAAGGGCATGGTGGCTCATGCCTGTAATCCCAGCACTTTGGGAGGCCAAGGTGGTGGATTGATTGAGCCCAGGAATTCAAGACCTGCTTGGGCAACATGGCCAAACCCCGTCTCTACAAAAAATACAAAAATTAGCTGGGCATGACGGGGTGTACCTGTAGTCCCAGCTACTCAGGAAGCTGAGATTGGAGGATAGCTTGAGCCTCCAAGCTCAAGCTATTGCAGCGAGTCGAGATCACGCCACTGCATTCCAGCTTGGTGACAGAGTGAGACTCCATCTTTTAAAAAGAGAAAATGGAGTGATAAAGTCAGGCACAGTGGTGCACATTTGTGGTCCCAGCTAGGCAGGAGGATCTCTTGAGCCTGGAGGCTGAGGCCATCCTGGACAATACAGTGAGACCCCATCTCCTTGGGAAAAAAAAAAAAAAAAGGAGCGATAGCCTCCTTATAGGTGCTTGTGAGGAATAGGTAATGTGAGAGAATCCTTTGCAAAGTAATACATTATCCAAATATGAAGGGATGTTGTTATTAGCATATATATAGTGAGGCAAGAGCAGGTTAGGTGAATAAAAAGGGTCAGACACAAAAGTTACGTCCTCTAGAACCTTATAGGTCAAGTTCTAATAAAGAAGGCACACAGTTAACAAAAAGCCAGCCATATTGTGAAGACCATAGAAGGTTAAAGAAAATTCATGGCCAGGCGCGGTGGCTCACGCCTGTAATCCCAGCACTTTGGGAGGCCGAGGTGGGTGGATCACGAGGTCAAGAGATCGAGACCATCCTGGTCAACATGGTGAAACCCTGTCTCTACTAAAAAATACAAAAAATTAGCTGGGCATGGTGGTGCGTGCCTGTAATCCCAGCTACTCAGGAGGCTGAGGAAGGAGAATTGCCTGAACCCAGGAGGCGGAGGTTGCGGTGAGCCGAGATCGCGCCATTGCACTCCAGCCTGGGTAACATGAGTAAAACTCCGTCTCAAAAAAAAAAAAAAAAAAAAAAATTCATGTCAGTGTGTGTGAAACTGCTAAGAGGAACTGAAGAGGTAAGACGTGTACGATAAGAATTCAGGTCAAAAAAGGCGGCACTAATGAGAAATTAGTTGTCCTCTCTCTCAGACCTGCAGTCCTCAGAACCAGTCACTGTTAACAGGTTTCTTTTTTTAAATGCTTCTACAATATATATATTTGTAAGAACAGGTGTGACACATGGTGAATCCACTGTTGAACTTAACTAAAACACTAACCAATAATGGTGAAACTCCTTGCATATTCCTCCTAAATTGTGTCTTCATTGTGTTTATTATTATTACTTGTTTTGTTTGGAGATGGGGCCTTGCTATTTTGCCCAGGTAAGGCTCAAACACAGGATCCTCCTGCTTCAGGCTCTCGAATAGCTGAGACTACAGGCATGCACCACCATGTCTGGCTTATGTTTATTGTCATTTAGGAGTTTTTTAAACACCATGTATCTCCCCACATTTAAAACCACAGATAAAAAGACATACTAACCACACTGATACTGTTGAATATCTTGCTTTTCCCCTCCTTAAACTGCATATTTTACAGTTCATTGCAATTGCTGAATAGTTGTCTTGCATAAAAGCACCATGATTTGCTTAACCAGTCCTCAGTTGTTGAGTTTTAGGTTGATTTCCTGTCTTTGGTTAAGACTATATAGTAGACTCTGGAGAGATGTGAATATATGTCTTTGGGATAATTTCCTAGCAGTGGAAATGCTGTGCAGTTTACTTTTGGTAGATGTGGCTCCTGTTAACTCTGGGAATACCTCACATGTGCTTCAGCCGTGAGGTCACATTGCCAGTTTCTGAGTATATTGATTGATGAGCCTGGGTTTCTCCAAGAGTCAGCAAGTAGCTTATGAAATGTACCTGACCAGCTAGAGCGTTGTTCTGATAATCCCTCTGTGACATCGCTCCCCATCTCCAGGCACTGGGATCCCATGGCAGTTGCAGCACCGAAGTGGAGAAGGAGACCCAGGAGAAGATGACCATCCTCCAGACCTACTTTCGGCAGAACAGGGATGAAGTCTTGGATAACCTCTTGGCTTTTGTCTGTGACATTCGGCCCGAAATCCATGAAAACTACCGCATAAATGGATAAAGAAGAGAGAAGCACCTGTTCTGTGGATTGGCATTTTAGATGCCCTCATGGAATATGAAGCTTTAGTACAGCGCTAGTTATCTTCTTATGAAATGGTGTTAAATTATTTCCGTATATTATGTAGTAGGTCCTTCCACTTTTTGGAGAATAGCAAATCTAGCTTTTTTGTACAGACTTAGATTACCTAAAAATTTCATCTTTTTACCTCATATTTCTTAAGAATTTAATGGGCATATGTTGTCTTTTTTCCTATGCCTTTTGGCTCAAGCAACATGTATATCAGTGTTGACTTTTTCTTTTTTAGATCTAGTTTTTAAAAAAACACCACATAACAATTCTTTGAAGAAAGGAAGGGATTAAATGATTTTTTTTTTCCCTAATACTTTCTTGAAGGTCAGGGGCTTTATCTATGAAAAAGTAGTAAATAGTTATTTGTAACCTGTGTGAAGCAGCAGCCAGCCTTAAGGTAGTCCATTCTTGCTAATGGTTAGAATAGTGAATACTAGTGTATTTGGGCTGCTTTTAGTTTCTCTTAACCAAAATTACTAGATGATAGAATTCAAGAACTTGTTACATGTTATTACTTGGTGTATCAATAATCATTTAAAAGTAAAGACTCTTTGTCCTGCATTTTTCCCCCCGTTCCTTCTTTTTCCTTGCCTCTATGATGACCAGTGGTTCTTCATTTTTGATAGTGCAAAACGCACTTTGACCTAGTTGGTCTGGAGAATTTCACTTAGGATATTAGCATACAAATAGCACACATATCACATACACATTTGCATACATAATTAGAAAATGTTCATGATGGATATGTCATATGATTTTACCCAACAACTGCAAGCAAGTAGTCTGTAGTTTGTCCTTTCTCTAGAGAGCCTTGTCCTGGGACAGCCTGGAGCAAGTCATTAAGCATATTTCCCTCCTGGTGGGCTAGGTGATGTGCATAATACCTACAGTACCTTCACAGTAGCACTTACAAGTTAAATGTCCTGTGGCCCTCTTAGCCAAAAGTCTTTCTTTGGTTGCAAAAGTAATTTGTAGGTAACAACAGTTGAAAGAACATGAGATTTCCTTGCTTGTTCTGATAAAAGACAATTAGATGAACTTAAAAACCCTCATATTTGGCCAGGTGCGGTGGCTGTAATCCCAGCACTTTGGGAGGCTGAGGCAGGCAGATTACCTGAGGTTAGGAGTTCGTGACCAGCCTGGCCAATGTGGGGAAACCCTGTCTCTACTAAAAATACAAAAATTAGCTGGGCATGGTGGTGGGCACCTGTAATCCCAGCTATTTGGGAGGCTCAGGCAGGAGAATTGCTTGAACCCTGGAGGTGGAGGTTGCAGTGAGCTGAGATAGAGCCACTGCACTCCAGCCTGGGTGACAGAGCGAGATTCCATCTCAAAAAACTCACCTTCATATTTAATATGACTGGATTTTTTTTCAGGCCACAACTGTGTCTAGTTACTGTTTCATTCTCTGTTCCTTTTTATAGTAGAATTCCTCAAAAGAGTGACTGGATGAGCCTTTTTTTTTTTTTTTTTTTTTTTTTTTAATTGTTAAAACTCTCAAGGCTTGTTATCCCACTGAAGCTGCCTGTCAAGATCAGCAGTGCTGTCCAGGTTGAGAAAGCCCATCCTCTCCCTATTTTTGACCGCCTGTACTCTGACAGGGTTGACCATTCCTCCCTTGAGCCACATTTTTAAAATTTTTTTGAGACAGGGTCTCGCTCTGTGGCCCAGGCTGGAGTGCAGTGGCCTGGTGTGATCTCAGCTCACTGCAGCCTCTGTGTCTGGGCTCAGTTGGCACACCTCAGCCTCCCAAGTACCTAGGACCACAGGCGCTCATCACCTCACCTGGCTAATGTTTCTGTTTTTAGTGGAGATGGGGTTTCTCCATGTTCCTCAGGCTGGTGTCAAACTTCTGGGCTCAAGCGATCCGCCAGGCTTGGCTTCCCAAAGTACTGGGATTACAGGTGTGAGCCACTGCACCCAGCCCAGTTTACTTAGCTTCCATCATGCAGTATTGTGCTTCCTTCCTCTCCCTCATTCTTCCTTCAGCTTTTAGTCTGTTTTCATGCTGCTGATAAAGACATACCTGAGATGGGAAGAAAAAGTTTAATTGGACTTAAAGTTCACATGGCTGGGGAGGCCTCAGAATCATGGCAGGAGGCAAAAGACACTAATTACTTGGTGGTGGCAAGAGAAAATGAGGAAGAAGCAAAAGAGGAAGCCCCTGATAAACCCATCAGATCTTGTGAGACTTGATATCCTGAGAATAGCACAGGGAAGACTGGCCACATGATTCAGTTATCTCCCTCTGGGTCCCTCCCAAAACACGTGGGAATTCTGGGAGATAAAATTCAAGTTGAGATTTGAGTGGGGACACAGCCAAACCATATGTGCCCCTGGCCCCTCCAAATCTCAGGACCTCACATTTCAAAACTAATCATACCTTCCCAACAGTCCACCAAAGACTTATTTCAGCATTAACCCAAAAGTCCACAGTCCAAAGTCTCATCTGAGACAAGTCCCTTCACCTATGAGCCTATAAAATCAATCTAGTTACTTCCTAGATACAATGGGGGTACAGGTATTGGATAAATACAGCCATTCCAAATGGGAGAAATTGGCCAAAACAAAGGGGTTACAGGGCCCATGCAAGTCTGAAATCCAGTGGGGCAGTAAATTTTTAAAGCTCTAAAATGATCTTTGACTCCAGATCTCACATCCAGGTCACACTGATGCAAAAGGTAGGTTCCACCTCTGTGGCTTTGCAGGTACAGCCTCCCTCCTGGCTGCTTTCATGGGCTAGTGTTGAGTGTGGCTTTTCCAGGCACAGGTTGCAGGCTATCAGTGGATCCCATTCTGAGGTCTGGAGGACAGTGGCCCTCTTCTGAGCTCCACTAGGCAGTGCCCCAGTAGGGACTCTGTGTGGGGGCTCTGACACCACATTCCTCTTCCGCACTGTCCTAGTAGAGGTTCTCTACCAGAGCACCACCCTTGCAGCAAACTTGCCTGGGCATCTAGGCATTTCCAAACATCTGAAATCTAGGCGGAGGCTCCCAAACCTCAATTTTTGACTTCTGTGGACCCTCAGGCTCGACACCACGTGGAAGCTACCAAGGCTTGGGGCTTCCACCATCTGAAGCCACAGTCTGAGCTGCATGTTGGCCCCTTTCAGCCATGGCTGGAGTGACTGGGACATGGTGCCAAGTCCCTAGGCTGCACACAGCATGAGGACCCTGGGCCTAGGTTATGAAACCACTTTTTTTTCCTGGGTCTCCAGGCCTGTGATGGGAGGGGCTGCCATGAAGTTCTCTGACATGGCCTGGAGACATTTTCCCAGTAGTCTTGGGGATTAACATTAGGCTCCTTGCTACTTATGTGAATTTCTGCAGCCAGCTTGAATTTCTCCCCAGAAAGTGGGTTTTAATTTTCGTTTACATAGGCTGCAAATTTTTCAAATTTTTATGCTCTGTTTCCCTTATAAAATTGAATGCCTTTAACAGCACCAAAGTCACCTGTTGAGTGTTTTGCCGTTTAGAAATGTCTTCCACCAGATACCCTAAATCATTTCTCTCAAGTTCTAAGTTCCACAAATCGCTAGGGCAGGGGTAAAATGCTGCCAGTCTCTTTGCTAAAGCTTAACAAGAGTTACCTTTGCTCCAGTTTCCGACAAGATCCTCATCTCCATGAGACTACCTCAGCTTGGACCTTATAGTCCATATCACTATTAGCATTTTGGGCAAAACCATTGGACAAGTCTCTAGGAAGTTCCAAACTTTCCCACATTTTACTGTCTTCTTCTGAGCCCTCCAAACTATTCTAACCTCTACCTGTTACCCAGTTCCAAAATCGCTTCCACATTTTTGGGTATCTTTTTAGCAGCACCCCACTCTTGGTACCAATATACCATATTAGCCCATTTTCATGCTGCTGATAAAGACATACCTGAGACTGGGAAGAAAAAGAGGTTTAATTGGACTTACAGTTCCACATGGCTGGGGAGGCCTCAGAATCATGGCGGGAGGCAAAAGGTTCTTCTTACATGGTGGAGGCAAGAGAAAATGAGGAAGAAGCAAAAGCAGCCTGATAAACCCATCAGACCCCCAGTCACTATCATGAGAATAGCACCAGAAAGATAGGACCCCATGATTCAATTTCCTCCCCCTGGGTCCCTCCCACAACACATGGGAATTCTGGGATATACAATTTAAGTTGAGATTTGGGTGGGGACACAGCCAAACCATATCACTAAGGTTTTGCTATTGGACTTCTTTAACATTCTATTGGTGAGACCACATCATTTCATGGCTTTATTATCTATATTGAAGACCCAAATTTCTATCTCTAACCCATTTCTCCTGAGCTGTAGTCATTAAATTGCTTATTTGATATTTTGACTTGGATGTCTGGTGAACATCTCCATCTTACATGTCCCAAACTGTATCCAGTCTGGTAAACATCTCCGTCTTAACATGTCCCAAAATATATCCAGTTTTGTTAAGGCTTTACTCTCCTTATTGCTAAGTGTAGCAACTCCTAATCTCTGCCAACTGCAAATACAGATTTCCCAAACTGGAGAAACATGAAGCAATACTCATGTTCAAGGGCTTAGGCTCAATTTTTAGCTGGGTTGCCACCAGTATTTTTATTCTGGATTAATAGGGTTGTGCTTATTTATATAACTGCTTGACTATTAATACTGAGCCAAGTAACTCAGCATTGCTAGTCACAGACACCAACAATGGAGAGGTTTTATTTTTCTGAGATGCTCTTTTGCCCAGGCTGGAGTTCAGTGGCAGGATGATCAGGGTCCACTGCAGCTTCGACCTCCTGGGCTCAAACCATCTGCCTGCCCCAGCCTCCGGAGTGCAGGGATTACACATATGAACCATCATGCCTGGTTGGATTTCTTTTTGAATACTTAATACATCATAGCGTTTTGTAGCAGTGTCCCTGGCCTCTACCCACTAGATGCCAGCAGAACCCTTTCAGTTGTCACAACAAAAAATGTCTCCAGATATTGTCAAATGTCCCCTGGGTGCCAAAACCACCCCCAGATTAGAGAAGATAAAGCACTATATATGGTGCCTAGAACATTCTAGGTACTCAGCAAATGTTTCCTAATTTTTTAAAAGTTGCTGTCCTTTTCTCAGACTAATCATTCTTGATTACAAGTTTAATAATAGCTGCATTGGTCAGGACAGGACAGGCTCTGAAAGCTCTGTGGTTTAATGTAACAAAGGTTTATTTCTTGCAAAGTCTGAAACAAGGTAGGTGACTTCAGGGCAACAGCTCTCCATGTGGCCACTCAGTGATTTGGATTACTTCTGGTTTGTGTCTCTACCATCTCATCACATGGTTTCCATGACTGTAGTGATGGGAAGGAAAAGTTGGCAAGCATGCATCTGCTCTTACCTGCTTCAGTCCTCAAATGACTTCTTCTCAGCTCTTTGACTGGTGTGGGTCACACGTCCCAACCTAACCCAAGGGAGGCTAAGAATAAGGGGGAACCCATGGATATTCCATGGGTAAAACCATGTTTCTGTTACAATTGCTAACAGCTTTTTTTTTTTTTTTTTTTTTTTTAAGACAGACCCTTGCTCTGTCACCCAGGTTGGGGTGCA